CTCAATCTTCTGGTCTCACATCTTCTGTTTTAGCAACACGAAAGGAATGAGGATATTAACTTAAAGGATGACAAACTCTGTCTCCAGTGAGACTTTCAGAACAGTCTGGATGGCTTGCTCTTACTCACTAATTCAGTCAAGATGCTTCTGGTGAGCATGAGGAAGGCTAGATTGAGAGACACTGTCTACATCTCTCTACCTTTTATCTATTTCATGGCCAGTGGATAACTTGATCAGCCAATGAGCGAACAGAGGTTGAGGTACTGGAATGGGGAGGATGAAGGAACCTGGGTTTAGCATCTCCTCAGGAGGAACCAGGGTTCTTCAAGATCTGCACAATGTCTGGCCCTTCTCTTGTCATCAGTTGCTAAGGACAGAATAAGGACATTGTTCCTGGTAACACAATGTGATGTAGGAAATAGACTTGCAGAATGTGTCAGAGAAGACCCTTGGGTGCACAGATACCTAGTGCTGGCTCAGCATGGCATGAGCTCAGAATGCAGGACTGTGCCAGGGTGTAGACTTTCCACAGTGAAGATGTATTTATAGATGTCTCTAGAGTCTTCTGCCTGGCTTGTCAGACCCCACCCTTGACAAGCTCTAGTGCTCACTTCACATTTCTCTGGCATCTTAAAGTGGGCTGAGAATAATTCTCAGAACAACCCTGGGAGATGGCTGTTATGGCATGAATCTGTTTCATGGTTTTTGTTTGTTTTGTTTTTTAATGTTTTATTGTGATCCTTAAGACATCTATCTAGGTAGATTTTCAAGGCCCAGTACTGTGGTAACTCCCTGTGCCATTTAGGTGGTAGGCCAAGGAGGATCACTCAAGCTTAGGAGTTCAAGGCTAGCATACCTTGGAGGAATCAGTAATAAGGAGTAAAATTGACACCCATGGAGTCCATGCCTTCCTTCCCACTAAGAGGTGACCAGCGTCTCTATGCCTGAAAAACCAAAAAGCTGATTATTTATTTTTAGAGGGGCCGGATATTTGTGCTTGGATGTGAAGACAAAGTAACATAAAAAAAAAAAAAATCCATCCAGATTATTATTGGGAAAACGCTCTTGGCTTTTGAATGAAATATGATCTGAGACTAGCATTTTAAGAAAATAAAATTACATGGCTGGAGAGATGGCTCTGATTTTCCAGAGGCCCCAAGTTCAGTTCCCAGAACCCATTTCTGATGGTTCACACCTTTTGTAACTCCAGTTTCAGTAGTCTGACACCCTCTATTGGCCTCCAGCAGCATCTGCAGACATGATACACATAGACAAGCAGGCATTCACATACATATAAAAATAAACAAATCTTCAAAACAAGAAAACAAAGCGCTGGAGAGATGGCTCAGCAGTTAGAGCATACACCTCCCTGGTTTGGTTCCTAGTACCCATGTTGAGCAGCTCACACATACCTTAACTCCAGCTGTAGTGCAATTGAGCCTCTGTAGACACCTGTAAAAATTTGCATATATTCCTGCTTCCATGCATGTAATTAAAAAGATTATCAGTCCTTTTAAAAAGGAAACAAAATTATGTTTAAAATTCACTGAAATATGGCATGTCCATAAAAATATTTGTGGATAATTTTCCAGTTTTCATACAAGAACAGAATGATTATTATGTATATTCTTTTGTTTATTTTCAACTTTTATTGAAAATAAATTCTTTTCTCACAAAGAATATCCTGATTATGGTTTCCCCTCTCTCTACTCCTCCCTCTCAGTTGTTCTCTGCTTCCCTTCCCATCTGGATCCACTCCCTTTCTGTCTCTCATTAGAACTATCCATGTTTCTTCATGTGCTTTTACCTATTATTATTAATCTTGAAGAGTACTGAGCTTTGTAAGAAAAGATTCATACTGAGGCTGTTAGATGAGACCTCCAGCAGTCCTGGGCAATTCTGGCTTCCGGGAGAGCCACACTGTCCACTGCACCTGCCGCAAGAAACCAGCATTCTTTGCTCATGTGATCACTTCATAGAACGGGTCTCACTTCACGACTCTGCTTGTGGGGTAGCTGAGAGAATTATAGAAGAGGGCTTCTTGAAGATGGTTATGTAGGGCATCCTTACACTGAGGATCAGACACTGGATGCACAGTTGACTCTGTTCTCCTTTCAGGCATTAAAGGCTGTTTTCAGAGGAGTTGGTGATGCTCCCTCTCCCCAGTCCCTTTTCTCCTTTAAGAATAAGGAACAGGGCTGGAGGGATAGATCAGCCCTTAGGACTAAGCTCAAGCTCACAATCAAAAATATAAGAATAAGGAACATTGTGGACATTATGGGAGGTTTGATGTGTTTGTTTAGATGGATCTAGGAACTGTTGAGCAATTCTAGTCTTATATTTGATTTGTCTGTTTTGTCATTGGCTTCTTGGGTTGACAAGTGTCTAACTATTGGGCAGGAAGTGATCAGTTTAGCTATGTGCCTGGGTATCCCAGTGTGGAGGTCATGACTGTGGTGTGGGTGGTCTAAGAAGCCTTTGCATTTTTTCTCTGAAAACTCTACTTCCCTCTCATGATCCAGAATAACTAGAATGTGAACACAGAAGGAAAAAATATTGGAATGGTTGCTGTCGTTTCCAAACAAATGACCTCACTGTCTGAATTCTGCTTTGTGCAAAAGAAACCTTAACTTTGCCTATAAAAAAGTAATGGATCTTTGGGGAAACAGATCCAAATCCCCATTTAGTGTATGTGGTGGTGGTGGTGGTGGAGGGGGGGTGATGTGGAAGGCTGGAGCTGACTTTTCAGACAGAATATAACTAACGTAACTATGTTACACCAACTTAACAATGATGGCCAAAGAGACACAGCAATCAGATTGGTAAAGATTAAGACTGACAGCTGCTTTCTCAAAGTAGGCAAGTCATTTTACTTTGTGGAAGCCAGCTTCATGTGAAGTTTAGTCAGCTCCATTCCCAGAGGGTAAGAGAGTTGTCGAATTTTGTATCAGCAGAGTGTCTTGGCCTTACCCTGTCTGCCTTACCTTACTCCCCGTTTCACAGGTGAGCTGTTATGGCATCCATGGGTCAGACATAAGCTGCAGGGTTGCAGTGGTTAGTCAGGACCTGCTGCAGCTAATACCCAGGGGGAGAGGCAACTGTTTGGAGGATTATATTTCAACATGTAATTAGGTGAAGATTTGATTTAAGAACCCAGACCATAATCAGAAGCCTCATTTCCTACAGAAGGAGCATTTTGATTGTCTATTTCATTTCATCAGAATGAAATGGGACAGGAGTCAGTCTGCCACCCTTTAAGATGTCTTAATTTCGATAGCCCTTGAGCATTTTCTCGAATGGGTTCTGGTCCCTTGGGTCTCATCTATGGTCTCCAAGCATTTCCTGGGACGGGTTCTGGTCCCTTGGCTCTTATATCAATTAATTTTTTTAAATCTCCGTGACCACAATACTAGACAGACACAACTTTTCTCCAGAGAGGAAAGCTTACGCTTGGCTCACAGTTTTAGAGGGTTTTATCATGTCTTGGTGAGGAACCCATGGTGGAGTTCACAGTGGCAGAAGTGTGTCAGAGTCTCCCAATGTGATGGATCAGAACTAGGGGCCAGTGCTATCTATCCTTCAAAGCCATGCTGCTGGTGACCTAATGTAGCTACCCTCCACCTCCTTCAGGCCCCACAGCTTCCCACAGTAGTACTGGCAGCCGGGGGACCAAGAATGAAACATTTTCCTGTGAAGAACATCTCAGATTCAGGTTCTTCCAGGTCTGCCAACCTGAAGAGCAGAGATGGAATGTTCTCTCTTGGTCTATGTTCTTTACATCTCAAAGATTTGGATATGGCTTTTATATCTTTAGATTTTGTGCTGAAGGTTTTAGATAATCTACTTCCGTGCATACACAAACAGTTCTGTTTCTTTTTTAACTCTGATTTTTTTTTTTTTTTTTTTTGGAGGAAAACCAGGAACCTGGTGCAGATCTTTTTAGATTAGGGGAAGGAGAGAGGGAGGGAATATGAATGAATTAGAGACATGGAACTTTAGGCTACTTTGTCTCCTCCCATGTCTAGAGCCATACATAGCAAGAATAGTATTTGTTTAGACACAGAGGTTTTTCTTTAGGTAGGAAACTGCCTGTTACTGGTTCTGATCCAGTGCTGCTGATTTGGGGCAAGGCCTGTCTTCATTGTGAGCCTTGGCATCATCTCTGAACAGAGCACCTCCAGCCACTGGTTTTCAAGGGTCCCTGCGCCCCCAGGCTGGGCTCTGAGATGCTATGCTTGGTGTGCACCGGGTAGCTAGAGTCTCTTTCTCAGGCTAAAGATGGGGCCTTTGCCAGCCCCTCCCTCTTCACAATCTGAAGTCTAATCAGGAGTGTTCACTGTGGTGAGGATGTTGTACCCCTGCTTCGATAGTTCATCTTGATTGCCAGTTTGAATGGATTTGGCATCACCATGGAAACAAGCATCTGGGCATGTTTCTGAGAGGGCTTCTAGATTGGGTTAACTGAGATGGAGAGACCAGTAAATGTGGATGACAGCATTCCATGGGCTGGAGTCCTGTACCGAGCTAAAATAAATAAATAAATAAATAATAAATAAATAAATAAATAAATAAATAAATAAATAAATAACTGAGCTGAGCACCAGCATTTGTCTTTCTGGCTTTTTGATTGGATGATGTGGCTTTCTGCTTCATGTTCCTATTGCCATGCAGTCCTCACCTGATGGACTGTACTCTTGAAAAATGAGGCAGAATCAGCCTTTTCTACCTTAGGTTCTTTTTGTCAAGTATTTTTGTCACAGCAATGAGTAAGTAACTAATACTTTTTTTTTTTTTTTTTTTTTTTGTGGTAGGGTTTCACTGTGTAGTCCTGGCTGTCCTCAGGCTAGCTCTATCAACCAGGCTGGCCTCTAACTCTCTAACTCAGTTCTGCCTGCTTCTGTCTCTCAAGTGCTGGGATGAAAGGCCTGCAACATCACACTTGGCTAACTAACACATTTCTTAATGAGGTCTCTGAACTGACACTGTGTTTCCTTTGACAGTGTGCTGCTGCAGGGTAACATCTGGACTGGAACCGAGGCTCCTCTGGTGCTTGGATGTCCCTAAATTCCTGGATCAGCTTGTTGAAGACTGTGAGTAATGTCCATATTGCTATTTTGTGAGCCTGAAGAGATTGTGAGCAGCAGTTAGAGAGTTCCGCCAGGCCTGGTTGATGGGCTCATTCCATGCAGGCACAATTGACCTTCAGCCATTGGTTGCATATACCCTGTAATAACTATGAATTTGGCCCAATGCAAATCATGAAATTACTTAAAACATTATGACCCTTTTGGTGACATCTATCCCTACCTATCTATCTGTATACGTATATGACTATATCTATCTATCTATATATTTGATAACTTAATCTCATGGCACTCAAGCTTGATTTTGTAGATAACAAGATTATGTTGCGATGTCAAAAGGTTGGATGTGAAGCCTGGCGTTGGTGGCGCACGCCTTTAATCCCAGCACTCGGGAGGCAGAGGCAGGCAGATCTCTGTGAGTTCGAGGCCAGCCTGGTCTCCAGAGCGAGTGTCAGGATAGGCACCAAAGCTACACAGAGATGGCAGGTGGAAATCTACATGTGACCTTTCTGTCCTGATCATCAGCCACCACCAGAACTAAACATGCCATCTTTATCATCCTGTCTCATCCCTTCTCTTTCACCACACTGACTGTTGATTCTGGCCTATAGGAGGACAATCCACATGGTGGCAGGTGCAGGGACCATGGCCTCCCTAGCAACCTCTCCTTGGTGCATGTATGTACCTCCTCAGTAAGCCTGTTCCACCCACTGCCACATCTTTTCCCACCCAAATGTTCACACTTCTCTGTCTGTCTGTCTGTCTGTCTGTCCATCCTTAAAGAATCTTTCTTTGTACTTGTCACAATGTAGATGCCTTCTTCTATCAGTCAGTTTTTAGACTGCCCATTCTTTTGACACTTACCAGATACACAATAGCATTCAGAGTCCACATGCTGTCATGGAACTCGGTTCAACACAAAGGAAGAGATCACATGAAAACCCAAGTGAGCTATCACAGCCCTGTCTGAGTAGACTGCTGGGTTCTAAGCACTCTCAGACTGAGTTGCTAAGGTACCTTGTTAAAACTCCAGTTCTCAAGACATATGTACTGAAATATCACAATGCATTCCATTAGTGTTCAGCTAATATGGTTTTTGTTTGTTTTTCGAGACAGGGTTTCTGTGTAGCCCTGAATGCCCTGGAATTCACTCTGTAGACCAGGCTGGCCTCAAACTCAGAGATCTGCCTGCCTCTGCCTCCTGAGTGCTGCCATTAAAGGTGTGCATTACCACTGCCCAGCTCAATGAGTATGTTTTAACATTTAAAATCAACTGTAGATCTTACTGTGGGAGGACTGGATGAGGTCTGAGAGTCAGCTGTGCTGACATATTGCAGGTGGCACTGATGCTGGTTTATAGACCATACTTGGCAAAATAATGCCTATTGCTTTGAAGTTCTCAGTATAGTGATTTGTCACTGAGTGTGACTTAGTGAACCCCTGAATGTATTTGTGTGTGTGTGTGTGTGTGTGTGTGTGTGTGTGTGTGTGTGTGTGTGTGTGTGTGTGTGTGTGTGTGTGTCTGTGTGTCTGTCTGTGTGTGTGTGTGTGTTTGCTGAAGTCCTAGCAGAACTTTATCTTATCTGTTATGTCTAGTGCTTATACTTTTTTGCAGCTGTTGTAGGTTGTGGTCTTAGCTTTTGGATCCTTTCTTCAATTTCGTACATTTCGGATTCATGCCTTGAGACCCTCCAAGGCCTCTGTACAGTGAACATACTGTCAATGTCTCTTAAGAGAGCTGGAGTTTTTTCAATTGGAAGAGCAGGCAGCATCAGCTGGCCTTACATGACACCTGCCAGTGGACTGTTAGACACTCAAACACCTTAGAACAGGTGGAGTGAGGGCCTGAGGGGCATAACAGGAGGGAGGTATGTGGCAGGAGGGGTTTAAAGAGAAGTCTATCGACCATGTGATAAATGCACCCGAAAATCATGCCTCAGGTCCTATGCAGTAATGTAGGCTGGACAACTGGCAAGTCAGCTCTGTAGATACTTATATATGGTTTCTGTTTTCCAAGAACTAAATGGACTCTCCTTCTGAGTCATTGACAGTTAAATGGAGCCATTGCAGCATCTGAGTGTCTGGTGTACCTTCTTGTAACTTAACTCTCCTGCTGTCAGGTAGCAGGTGAGGCCTAGGATGAAGGTACTCACTTGGGGTCACACTGCAGGAGTATGGCAGCAGGTAAAACAGCCTGGATTGTTGGTCTCACGTAGGACTCTCTCCACTCTTCACTTCACTTGCTGGGCCATGAGTTAAATTGTTTTTCTTTGAGGCAAGTTATCACTCTATAGCGCAGTTGCTGCGAACTCATGGAGTTCTCCTGGCTCAGCCAGAAGTAGGGTTTTATGGACAGCAGATAGTGGGCTGCTCATTATTAACTACTTATTTGTATTTTACTTCCTCATACTTTCTGCATGTCCCTAGGGAGACTCTTCCCAGGGAGATAATTTTAAACTGTATTGGTCCCCTGAGTTAGGGAAGGCCTTGGGTGGTTTGGTACTGTGTTGTATGACTTTTGCTGAGGAGATATGAACAAATGCCTATTCACTGTAGGTAGGGCACAGATGGCAGACCAAAGAAGGGATTCCACCTCTGTCTAGCTTAGTGGACTAGTGAGTTCATTGGGTTACTGACATGAGCATGGGTGACTCAAAAAGGCAGCTGTATCACCAAGAAGCTCACCCTAGTATGGATGATATTTTATGAAAGCTGTATTCCTGGAACTCCTCGGCCAACTTGCAAATAGCTTGGTTGGCTTCTCAGGAGTTCCTTCTCCTGAGCAATTGCTTGCTGTCTTTTAGAGGAACCTTGTAAATTGTGTAACTTTCAGGATCTCCCTGAGCCTTGCAAGTTGCTTTTGCTTTCCCAGTTTTAGGGCCTTCTCCCTCCTTCAGGGACTGTTTCAATTCAGAAGAAATAGCTATCTAATAAGCTGACATAAACAGGAAAGAGGTGTGTATTTTGGAGGTGGGTGTTTTGTACTGCCTCCTCCAGCCTTAGAGGTGGTAGATACTGATGACTTAGGGATCTATAGCTGTAACTTAGTCCTCACAGGCTCACAGTGAGGAGAGAGGAGGTGAAGGGTCAGGAGTTGGCTCACTGTGTCATAAAGAATTTCTGGCCACTTGACACTTCTATATCAAAGATAATCTCCAAATGGCTTCGTTGGGCTCAGATTTATTTAGTCTGTTCTATGTCAGACACACAGACCTGGCATTTTAATGGATTTTAAGTTTTCAATTTGACTTGTCACTATTTGGCTTCATATACCTGTATGTAGTTCATGGTTGGGCCAAGGCATTTGCAGTATTGAATTTCTTCATTTAGCCAGTTGTCCACATGAAATGTGCACACCAATTCCGAGACTGCAGACATTGACAGTTTGGAGCCATGATCTTGCTTATATTGCAGGCTCTTCTGCTAAACTGGTATATATAACTCCCTGCTGGGGAGTGAGATGCCAGGTGTGAAAATTGCATTTAAACAATACTTGCCTTTAGTCCTTTTAAGTCCAGAGTTAGCCTTGCTTTTCTACCAGGAAGAAAGACTCTGAGCCAGGGTCAAAGCCAAGATTTGCTGTGCAGTAGCTTTTACCCCTGGATCTTGCTGTAGTGTGTCTCCTTGTATTGCTGTTTCTCACATAGGTTCCCTATGGCCAGTGCTCTCTCTCTGTTTCCTTGGCCTCTTTCTTTAGCATGAAATAGAGAATTGATTTTGTTTTGAAGGCAGTTGCAGATATAGGTTCTTTGACTTCTCTGTTTTTATTCTGGCCATGCATCCTTCAAGGACTGGCAGCAGTGTCCTCTACTCCATGTGGCTGTCTGGTTTCATGTGGCTGTCTGGTTTCCTCTGATCTTGTCTGATGTTTCATGTCACCCAAAGCCAACTGCTTTTCTTTATACAGTGAGCCCCTTAGGGCAGGGCCCAGATGATGCAGGGATGGAAGAGGCTTCCCTTATACTTGAATTCAGGACCTAGGCCTATACTGTAAGTGCAGTAGGCATTTGCAACCTGAACCCAATAAAATGACATTCTTCCTTCCATTTGTACCCCTAACTCTAGTCTGCTAAAAGAGAAACAAAGGAATATTGTGCACATGAAGACCAGGAAGGTCTGTGTGTTGGAATGGTGGTCATACTGTCTCCTGCAATGACAAGTCTACACATGAGATCACATAGCAGGTGTCCCCAGGTTTTTGTGAACTCAGGCATGCAGACCCCTCCAGGGTCTTAGGTTATGCGAGGTGATGGCAAAGAACAGGTGGAGTGGAAGAGTTGGACTAAAAAGTACATTCTTTCCTATAACACAGGTGGTGTTTGTATTTCCTTTAAACCTCTTATGACTTTACAAAGTTTCAAAAGCAATTTACAGTCTGTTGATATTCAAAAAAAAAAAAAAGATACAAAAAAGAAGGGAAATTCGCATAAAAAGAAGGCCCTTTCTCAGTAGTGGTTTCAGATCAGGATGTCAATGTTGCCAGCCTTTGGGCCTTGTATAAAGTAAGCATTAATATTGCCAGACTGGCTACTGGCTACTGGCTACTCCCTTTGATTTTCATCTCCCCTCCCCCCTTCCTCTCCCCTCTCCTCCCCTCATTTCCTTTCCTCCTTCCCTCTCTCCCTTTTGGGGGAGTGAACCTAGGATGTGCTCTATCCTATACCTTAAGCTATACCCTAAGCCTTCCTTTTTCTCTTGCCTTTTGAGACTGGATCTTGCTAAGTTGCCTAGGCTGCCCTTGAACTTGCTTTATATATAGCCCTAGCAGATCTCAATCTTGTTTCTCTTGCCTCTGCTTCCCTGAGTATTAGATTACAGCTACCATGTCTGGCTTGCTTTACTTTAAAATGACAAAGTACAAAATTCATAGGTGTTATGGAAGAGTTGGGCTTCAGGGGTCTATACCCATGGGGAGGGATGTTGTTAAGATGGCAGTGTACTTTTCAGCTTGCCAAAGCAGAGAGAGACCCAGCTCGTTCTTGTTAGGAGACAGGCCCTCTATCTGC